CCTTCGAAGGATAAGGCCAGAGAGCACCTTCGATGCCACAGCTAACAGGCTGATGCCACGGTGGTTTTCGCATAGCGTCCGTGTACCCTGAAGATAGGGATAACTGTCGACGTGCCTCATTCTGCAGGCACTTGCTCTTCGTCCCACAACCTCGTCCTACAACCACTATACGGCAAGTACGCGGCCATTACAACTGGCAATGATGATGATGATGATGATGACGACTGTCTATAATACAAAACTGTACGTAAGCAGGTACTTATTAAAAGCTAGAGTAACAAAGATAAGTATTGAAATCGAGTTGATTGGAGTGTGTTCCCCATCCCGGATCACCGTCTTCGAAGAGCATTATCTTCTGTTCTGAACCATTGCTGGTAGGAGCTCACGTGATGTAAGGGCTAGGGCCTGTAGTCATGGTACTGATTACAACAGCACTTATGTAGTCGCTTAACCGGACTGTCCAGCGGAATTTCGGCTAATTTTATGTGGGCTCACTTTGAGGTGAGGTTACTAAGGGACGTTTGGTCCATTCCCGTTGTGGCTGCTAACTCTGATATGATCGTCAGGTGTTTGTCTGAGTGATGCTGAAATGTCGGCAAGACCGACTGACTTGTTCAGCTGTCGCACCCTTTCGGTGCCTAACTGCCACGCCACCCAAAGGTTGGACGAGGGCTGGGATACTGCCAAGTTGCCCAAACCTAGACAGGGGAAGTCCAGAGGCGGAGGTCGGATTCGAACCACCGACCTTCCGATCAGTAAATTCGCACTCTAACCACTTGGGTTAGAGTGGTGCCTTATCCTTGCTTGCCTTCCCCAAGGATTGACTGCACTCCGTTTTTTCCTTTTCTCCACTCTGAACCAAGCGGTTGACTGTTTGACAGCCAGACATCACTACGTATTACTAGTGTGTTGCACCAGAATGGTGAACTACCACTTGAACTAAGAAGCTCTGGTTGGTGGTAGGGTGATTGATGGTCCATTAGTAATATTCTTTGTTTGAGGCACCCAAGTTATTTCGTCGTAAACTTTTCAGAAGACACTACATCACTTTTTACTATGCGAGTAATTCACAAGGAGGTTGACAAGTACTCATCAGGACACATCACGCTGATTGCGGAGAACGAGGAGGATATGTGGTTAACCTATAACTTGGTCCAGATCGGCGACCAGCTGCGGTGCTCCACAGTTCGGAAAGTTCAAAACGAGTCAGCCACTGGAAGCGTTCAGACGAAGCAAGTGAGGACAAACTTAACTATCAATGTGGAGAAAATTGATTTCGACCTCCAGGTATGTGCTCCATGAGCGTTTTCTTTTTTTCTTTTTTTGGTCAAATAGCGTGCTGTTTCTTCTAATTGATTTTCACCCACGGCGGTTGTCGAGACTAACCGGAGTGGTTCTCTTCTCAAAGTTGTCAGCTTTTCGGGGGATAATGGGAGCTGCTTCTAGGCTGTTTTCTGAAATGATGTGAAACGAGACAGCATCCGTCCAGATTGCTTTTAGGTGTCCCCAACCCTGAGCACCGCCTTCTTTCGGTCCACTAATTTGCGAACTAGTTGCCACTATCCGGAACGCAAGTCGAACACCATGAAGTATTGATATTACTGTAGCAAATTGAAAATCTCAGCAACCCAAGAGACAGCTGAAATCCGACTTACGGTTAGTTCATTCAACTCCCCGGAAATCCACGCAAAACCGGTATTTTTCGTCCGTCTTCTTCACTAGTACCGCCAGGGAGTTGTACGCACTGCAGGCTTCCTCGATTATGCCAATTTTCAACATCTTTTGAACCTGTTTATGAACCTCCCCCGTGGATGGAGCGGTAACTGACGGGGGCCGTAAGGTCGAAAGTGCTCGGATGAGAGGTGGATTTCGTGTTCGGCCAGTGGACAGAAGTTAAACAGATCTTCATCGCCTGCGAACACTTAGGAGTACTCCTCGACCACAGACTGTACTGACGGAACATTTCAAGACGGAAGCTTTCGGACACAGTTCGCTCATAGTGGTGCTTGGGTAACCTTCAAGCTTAATTGAGTCATACGTTTTCATCAGTTTGCCGCGCTTTCGGTCCACCACGGATTCTGAGCTTTTGAGAAAACCTGCTCGCAAAACTATCCTTGTTTGGGCTGATCAGGAACTCGTGCTACACTGACATGTCGCCTAAACGCATTGAGTGCAATGATGATCTGTCGATTTTCAGTCGGCTTCAGGGCCAGCACACACGGTTTGCAATCAGTTTCGTTCCCTATGATGCTTAGTGACACCCCCTCTGTAATAGCTAGTAGATGACTTACTCTTCTCTGTTGTGTTACTAGAACAGCGAGTCGTAGAAAGCAATTTCTCGTATTTGTTTGTCCTTCCACTGTTTGCCTTCAGTTGATTTTACTTCCTTCGCTTTGGTATCTAGTGATTCGAATTCAGCAGGCGAGAGTTGGGGCTGAAGATCATGGTTGAGACGACATGCGCGATGGCGGATATCAGTCAAACGTTGGGTGGTTAAATGGATCCTAGATATTGCAACATAGTCAATTTATCACATAGACCCTTAAGTGAAGAGGAACGTTGTCTGTTAGAGAAAGGATTGAATTTTCCAGTGAGTGAAGGCGTTATAAGGGCAGAAGAGATCATTCATAGTGTCGAGTCTGTATTTCAGAAGCTTCCTTCAGTGGGAGCGGAGAAATTACGTGTACAGTTGGTCACAGTCTTTAAGTCCCAGCAACCAGGGGTTCCAAACCACACCAGCTGAGCGAAGAGCCTTAAACACATTAAAAAGTGTAGACAGTATAGTAATTACAAAGGTAGATAAGGGTAAGGCGACGGTCATCATGAGTAAGAGTGACTATCTTCAGAAAAGTAGACAACACTTAGCTGATGGTTCTTACCGACAAATTAGTAACGTCGTCAATAATGAATAAGAGTAAAGTTGAAGTTGGGTGGTATCTAAGATCTGTGATAAACCATCTGGGGCAGGCCAAGTATTATCAATTGTACCCAAAAAGTACAGTCCAACCACGACTTTACGGGTTACCAAAAATTCACAAGGAAGGTGTCCCCATAAGACCAATGGTGGATGGCATGGGTTCTAACAGGTATCCTTAAACCACTTGCCGGCAATTCACCCACACACATCCAAGATTCGTATGACTTTGATAAGAAAAAGTAGCTGGGTTTCAGTTAGAACTAGACGAAGTTCTGGTTAGCTATGATGTCAAATTGATGTATACCAGCGTCCCTAATTCGGACGCTGTGGAAGTTGCGAAAAAGCTTTTACTGGCAGACGTAACGCTCCAAGAACGAACGCAACTCTCCGTAGACGAGATATTTGAAGGCGTAAAGGTATGCATAAACTTCAGTCATTTTGTTTTCGACTCAATTATATACTCTCAAGAACAACGTTTAGCGATGGGATCACTAATATCCCCGATTTTGCCAACATGTACACGGATGACCTTAAGCAAAAAGCTTTTAAACGAGTGTCCACCAAGGGTTTTCTGGTGTTACGTAGATGACATATTCGTTGTGATAAAGCGGAATAAGGTGAACGGATTCTTTCAATATATGAACACTTTGGACCCTCACAATAAGTTTAGCATGGAGCTAGAGTCCACATCGGGTGCATTACCTTTCCTTAACTGCATGACACACAAGAGTGGTGGGAAGTTAAAGACCATTGTTTGCCAGAACTCAGCAGATTGCGTTGTGGTCTTAAACTACTCCTGAGGACATTCAAAAGCAGTATATGCTAGCATAGCTTCAACGATGTTTAGGAGAATGAGATCACTGTGTACAGAGGAGGTCGATCGAAGAGCAGCAGAACTTGAGGTAAAAAAGCGACTTCAAGTTAGCGGTGGGTTTAATTAAGTGGCAGCTAAGACCGGTATTGGTGTCAACACCAAGGCAGAACAACGAGTGGATGGGAACAACGGTCATTCCATACAAAACAGGGACATCTGAAGTCATTAGAAGGGTACTGAATTCCGTCACGAAGAGACTGGACCCATTGAGCTATACTGGGGGTGTTCGCGCGACACTCACAGTGTCTCTCATACCAGGTTGGTCAATGGTTAGAGGTCCGACGAACACAGTCTCCTGGTCCTCCAGGTTGGGAGTTGGAACATGTATGGCGACTTGTTCCGTAGAAAAGGTAATGCATTTGCATTTCCCCGCCAAAGACCGCTGCCTTGCGGTTAGGCTTTTGAGCCAAGGGCTTTGGTTGAGGACCCTAATCGTCCTCCTGTCTAGGTGTGAGCGCCTTGGCAATATCCCAGCCCTCGTACAACCATGACCTACACAACTAACAATATCCTCATGCCACATCGGCCGTCGCGTGGTGCCATCAGCCGGGTCGCCTTACTTGCTGCATACAGCAGGGCGGGTAAGCGAAAACAGGCTACTGCTGAC